TCATCTGGGTTGACTTGCTAACTTTCCAACCCCTAAATTCTCCATAGTCTGAAAGTCTGGGTCACTGCAACGTGAGCTGGAAGTGTGGCATCCTGGGTATCTCTTAGGCCCTCTCATTGCTCATCTCATTTTGGTGGCTAAAACACAGCCTCAGGGCCACGTTGCATAAGCTCCACTCTGAAGCTCAGTGGACTGGTTCCACTTTAGACATCAACTTTCCATTTACGAAGCTTTGGGACGAAGTCTTGATTTTGACTTTAAGTATCAGCACCTCTCATAGCCAGCATCCAGATCCCAGTTCCTAAATACTATTCCGCACAAAAGGAACCAGGATTCATAGAGAAATGGCTGGTTCTAGGACCTAGACACAATCAAGGCGAACTTGAAACATTTCGGGGGGAGGGGAGCAGAGGGAAAGCAAGCAATTGCCTAAAGAATGATGCTGTAGAGCTGGCTTGAAGGCTCTTCAGTGGCCAATTCTGGGACCATTTGAACATCAAAAAGAAAAATGATGATAACATTACAAAATGTAGAAAAAAAATTTAAATTCATGAGTTCATAGTGCCATAAAAGAGAGAGAAAGTCAGATGTGAGAAAATGATTATCGGTGGATCCAGGTGAAGCACCTATGAATGTACTATTCTTTCAACTCTTTGTAAATATAAAATTTCTCAAAATAAAAAGTCGGGGGAAGGAAGAAAGAATCAGCTCCTTTCCATAGCCTGGATATTCTGAACTTACTAAACCAATCTTCCTGGGGCAAGAGGACGTGAATGAAGTCCTCTCCTGGGCTCAGTGACCTCCAGCCCTTCTCCTCTTATCTTGGGTAATATAACCTGCCAATGGTTAAAAATGAATCAATCACACAAGGGGTTCTAAGACTGTTGTAAGTTAGGCTAATGCTAATTATCACAAAGATTTGTCAAGGACAGTGAGCAAATACAGGGGCTCTAACATCTGCTCAGTACTGAAATCTCTATAATTAAATATAAAATAGTCTGATCCTCTCTGGCATTTGCCTGTCACTTCTGCTTCCCAGGTTCTATAGGGCACCCAAGAAAAAATGCCAGGGCTCTACAGATGCTACTCAGCAGGAAGTCGTCCTTCAGGATTAAACAGCCAGAAAGGATCACTTGGGTGCCATCTACTGGCTAAATGCTTGCACTGCCTCAGCCAGGAACAGGCCGCCAAGTGTTCCGCTCCCTATTAACAGAAGCAGGCGGCACAGGGTGCAGCCTCAGGCAGGCATTCAACAAACGGGGAAATGAATTACTTCCTCCTTTGATTCCCCCTCACGTTTATTCAATGCCAATAGGAGGTGCAGGTGATCAGAACCTAATCCCATCATACTGATGTCTTCGTATGGTCCAGCCCTGTTTCCACAGATGGACTGTAAACTCGGTGAGGGCTCATTGTTCTCCCTGACGACCAACCCATAAGAAATGCTCCATAAATGCTTATGGCTGGGATCAAATAACACACAGTGTGTGCAAAGAGGCTTTCAGAACAAGCATAGTGAAACTGAACAAGCGTAAGTGAACCAACGGAGAATGAGAGAGGAATCTGACCATTATTCTGTTTGTTTCATAGCACTGACCACATTCCAATTTTTTTTTTTTTTTTTGTCTCTCCTCTCTAAATTGCAAGCTCCAGAATTGCAGGGACCACGTGTGTCTCGCCCATCATTGTACATCCAGCACCTAGGAGCATCCATTCAAGAAATACGTTTTGAATGCATGGGTAGAAAAAGGAATAATGCTCTCTGCTCTCTTTCCTAGGGACGATGACCAGTTGCCTTGAGCCAGTTCTGCTATCCTCAAGAAAGCCCTGATTCCAGACATGGACACCATCACTACCCCACCAGTCAGACTCCATATACAGCCAACTTTTACCTGGAGGCCAAACCCAAGACTCAGCCAATGGGTGTTGCTGGGAAAGGCATATGTACCAGATTTCCCTGGGCGACTGCTACCCTCTGTCTTGTTACTACTTGCTTTAGCACTCTCCTACAGGCGAATAGTCTTCCCTTTCTCTGCCCTGTCCCCTAAACAAACTCATTTATTTATACAGAGCAACTGGAGTACTGTTTAGGAAATATCTGTACCCCTCCTCCTTGGGATGGTGTATACTTCCCTACTTGACTGATCTGGGGCTCGGCCAAGTTCGTGGATATGATGTGAGCAGAGGCCTTAAATGTGCCTGTGTGTTTGGCTTGGCCCCTAGGGTTTTTGCAACCCACCCTGAGAAGAATATGTCCCAAGGAGCTGCTCTTCTTTGGGCTAAGCCCTGAAGCTGGAGTGCAACGCAGGCTAACCCAGCTGAAATCAGCTGAACCCCAACCAGCCCACAGACCCGTGATAAAGGAAAATAAACATTTGTCCTTTTGAGATGGGTTTGTTACACAGAAGAAAAATGACTGGTATAGAGGAGCACATTATCACCCCTCCTTCCGAAAGCTTTCACCTGGAAATTCTGTCCTGTGACCACAATACTCCTCCCGCCTCCATGTCCAACTACTTTATTACCACGCCGCCTACTTTTCCATCCCACTGACACCACTAGTCCTCTCCCTTCTGCAGGCTCCTTCTGGTTTCCTGTCCTCCCCAATAGGGACAACCATGTCTCTGCCAACTCTGGGATTCACCAAATGACTGGTTTTATTCACCTCTGCTCCCATGCTGCTAGAGAGCACTGCCCCACCGGCCAGGCGGCATCACCTCTACAGGAAATCCAGCCTCCACTGGGTCCTCAGTCTTGTTTGGACAAGCTTTAATTTATCATGAGCTCGTGCCTTTCCTTGGTCCTCCCGTGGCCATTCCAAACCTCTGGTATTCTCAAGTGACAGCCATACGTCCACTCTTGCTCTCAGCAGAGATTTCACTTCCCACTGGGGGCCCCACCAGCGGAGGTAGGATGCTACCGTGGTTAAGAAGAAGAGGTCTCGAATCACAGAGACTTTGGCGTCTTCCTGTTTTACCCACAGATGAGCAAAGGCATAGCTCGGCCATCACCCCTTTCCGCAACCTCTCCTGTCCCTGCCTCCCCGGGATTAGCTGTTCTCTGGTCTCTGGTCTGGAGGATTCAGCCATACCCTAGTTCACAGCCTTTCCTTGGCTTCTGAGTGCACTTAGAATAACATCTAAACGCTTTACCGACTTTCCCCGCTTCTAAGGTCATGGGTGAGCCGATGCCAGCAGATGGCTCCACCCCATACTACAACCCCGTTAACTCACACAGAAAAAGAGCCACCTCCCACATCCAAAGGGGAGAAAACCCCAAAGTTATCTCCTATACCACAAAGGTCAATGTGAAATCTAAAACTGTGCATTGTATCTCTAATTATGTCTTTCTTAAATTTCCACTGAAAGTAGTTTTATTTCTCGACCACCCACCAGCTTGGCAATTAAGGAGCATATAGAATAATAATGACATATTTATTGCATTAGTTGAGCTTTTACTATGTGCCAGACAAAGCATTAAGTGCTTCACAGGCATTATCTCACCGAATTCTCGAAACAACCCTATCAGGTAGCATTACTCCCACTGTAAAGAAAAGGAAACGAAGCTGAGCAAGGTTAAAAGACTTGGCCAAGCGCACAATGCTAGTGACTGGCAAAAGTATTAAACCCAGGTGTGTCGGGGAGCCTGGGTGGCTCAGTCGTTAAGCGTCTGCCTTCGGCCTCATGTCATGGTCCCGGAGTCCTGGGATCGAGTCCCGCATCGGGCTCCTTGCTCTGCGGGGAGTCTGCTTCTCCCTCTGCCTGCCGCTCCCCCTGCTTGTGTTCCCTCTCTCGGTGTGTCTCTCTCTGTCAAATAAATAAATAAAATCTTAAAAAAAAAAAAAAACCCAGGTGTGCATCATTCCAGAGCTTGGACTCTTGATCCTTATGCTATACCATCTCCCAGAACAGCTGCCAAAGGAAGACCAGGGTTAAATCCCACAGCTAACCTACCTAGAAGATCATCTACCAACTACTAAATTAAGTTTTCCAGAACCCGCCGAAAATGACATTGAAGCTTTAGAGCCGCAACCAAGACCAGCACTTTTAAAAATTATCTGTATTCTGGATAATTTAACTCCCAGGTTCATCCGAAAATACCAATACACCCCTTCTCCTCCAGGTAGAGCTCAGGTCCTTGGCTGCAGACCACACAGCTCATCCTTTGCCTGAGACTCTCGAAACTCATGGCATTTTGCTACAGGTTGGATCAGGCAAAGAAGACCAATAGTACTCCATCTTCCATCTCTGTAAACTGGAAATATCATTCATAAGAGGGAATTCGCTCAGACTGTCAGCTCATCCTGGCTGCTTCTGATTCAAACAGGGAGCATATAACATAGGCTTAACAAAATAACAGTTTGTACATTGCTCCAGATCCAGACTCTCAGAGGGATACTCACCGCTGGGGCACTGCAGAGGGGAGTTCGAAACTGGGAGGTTAGATTCCCACTCCAGATTCAGAGGATTACCGAAACCCAGAGGGCAACCCTAATAAAGATTAAGTAATTCTCAGAGACGAAGTCAAACCCAGAAAGAATCCCTTTCCTGGGATAAGTGGCATGCTGACAACTTGATGTGGGTTCCAGGAATTGAACTCAGGGGTCCAGAAATTTACCAATAGAAATTCATATTGAAAACACACTCCAGGACTTAGCATATTTAAAGCCTTATTCACTGCTTGCTGACCACTGCTAACACACAACTGCTTCTGGAATGGACACGAGGCATGCTGTGTGCAGAATGTCTTGGCTGCAATTAGGAGAAAGGAGAAGATTTAAGAGCAGACATAAACCTCCTGTCGCCAATTCCAAACAGATGTCCACAATCCACACCCAGCAGATGGAAACACATCTTTGTTTTTTATATTCTTACCTAGAAAGCCCTCTGGCCAAAGCTTTCCAGAACTCAGATTCCAACCAGCTAAACCTCAGTCTGTTGCAAGCTGAGCCTTGAAAGCAGCATGCACCAGAAGGGGGAGCTGCCTCGGGGTCTACTCACGCATGCAGTCTCCTCCGTACCAGCCCGCGCGGCACTCTGCGCAGTAGACCCCCTTCACGTAGAAGTCATCCAGCGTGCCCCCCCACGAGCCATTTCGGCAGGTCTTGCAGTTTTCAAAGATGGTACAACCTGAAACATGTCCCAGCACAAGGATGTTAGATCATGCACTTGCAGGTTCTGATGGGCGGCATGTGAGAGCAACTGGACCTTCTCAGAGCCCCCCCTCCACCGAGGTCCTCTGCCCCTAGAAAGATGCCAGAGCCCTTGGGAAAAAATGCTCATTCCTAGGAAAATGCCAGAGTCACAAGAATTCGCAGCGAGGAGTCTAGGAGGGTGGCCTGAACCATCTTCCAAGTCGGTGGCTGACGTTCCACATGCTTATCATGGAATATTGAGAAAATTCAGACAAGCAAAGAGCATGAAATTAAAAACACCTAAAGGGCCATCGCCTGGGAACAACCACTGGTAACACACTCTCTCTGTGTATACAGAAAAACAATTTTTTAAAAATTAGACTTATGCTATATACTGTACATTCTGTTTTTGTCACTTACTTTTTCAGGTCATAATAGAGAGTATCTTCCTGTTCCATCAAATATTCTTCTATGTCCTATACTTCTATAACCAAAGTATGCCATTGGAAACAACCTTAATGCCTAGTAACGGGCTTACCCTGGAAAGTGCCAGGCTGCCCCCACTAGCAGGCCACACCAAAGAGAGTTGAGTGGTTCCCAGGTAATGGTCATTTTTATAACATGGTCTCTTGGGGCGGGGCGGGGGGGGCGGGGAGGAGACAGTGATGAAAGAGATAATCCAATCCCGCTTATCAAAATGGAAAACTACGTTCTGGCTCTGCCATTGTCCAGCTGTGTTTCCTTAAGCAAACTACTTAAGGTCTCTGTGCCCCAATGTCATCATCTGTAAAAAAAAAAAAAACGGTTAAAAATTGTACCTGCCTCTTAAGGTTGTTTTAAAAATTAAATTAACATATATAAAGGGCCTGGCACATAGTACATACACCCCAAATATGAACTATGATTCTTATTCTGCGTTCTCATACCTCCACTTGGCTTATCCCTACCATTGCATATTTCATGCTCAATCTTAACTGCCTATTATCTGTTTTCCTATAACAGACTGAAGTCAGGAACTGCATCTTGTTCAACAATGTATCCCCAGCACTTAATATAATATCTGCAACATAGCGAGTATTCAATAAACACTATTTGAGTGAATGAATAAATGGACATATGGATGGATGGATGGATGAACTGCTAATCCGGGCTTCTCAACCTTTTGAAATAATTGGCATTTCCTTGAGCTGATAGCACACTTCTTTGATTTTGGCTGAAATTAGGTTTTCCTTGGCCTGTAGTGTAGACATGCAGCATATGTCCGTGTGGTTTCTGGAGGACAGAGGCTCACAGTCCTCTCCTTGCACACCACCCTGACATGGCTTCCCTGTCCCAGTGCTTCTTCCCACCAGAGAAGAGCTGCTAACATGGTTCATCAGATTCCAGTAAGTCATGTGGCCCACAACTGGGTCCCAGCGGAGGCACTGTGCTTTCTAAAGGCCATCTTCACCCACATGCCACTTTCCCCTCTTTGGTTCCCTATCCACTGTGCCACTGAGGAGGCAAAAGGACTCAGAGCGTGCACCCAGTGACCCTGCCAACCCTCTTTCTCAGCCCAGTAATTTCAAGGCCTTTAGGTCCCAAGCCACAAAAACCAGCCAGGTGATGAAGGTGAACAAGACTGTCACGAAAATACACTCAGGAGCTCACAGCATTGCCACAAAAGCCAGAGGACCGAGTTCAGAGCTACGTAGCCTAGAACCACATGAAAATACACAGGAAACTGGGTCCACAGAAAGCCCCAGGTCTGCTGGAGACCACTGACATCACTACTGACATCCCCAGCATGGTACCCCCCAGATGTTGGTCTGCCTGCAACCACCGCCACTGGCAGAGATGCTGGGTTGTCTACCATGATGAGCGAAATAACAGAAATTCTAAAACCATGCTGAGATCCCATTTCTCACCCTTGGCAAAAATCCACAATGATTTGTGTTGCAAGGCTTTGGAGAAACAGCACCCTCACACCCGGCTGCTGTAAATGCTAAGTGCAAGGGGGACAAGGCAAAGTTGGCAAGGTGACATACGCACCTCTCTTGGACTCAGCAATCTCTCTCCCAGGGACCTACCCCAAAGAACACTGCAAAAATATGAAATGATGTAGGCCTAAGGCAATTCGCTATAGTATTATTTGTAAGATCAAAAAGCTGGAAACAACCCAAATACTCATAAACCATAGCAATCCACACAATGCAGTTATATACAACTGTAAAAATAAATGAAAAAAAAAAGGCTTTATACTGTCAGAGAGTGATCTCCAGCAGATATTGTTAAGAGAAAATAAGCAAGGTAGTTAGCAGTGTTTATTGTAGGTTATCTTTTGTGCAAGAAGGGCAAAGATATATAAATGTATATTTGCTTATGTTGTCATATATAGAAAACAGATGGAAACAATAAATCTATCTATATACCAAGTAGGTGATATAAACCCCCACAGACAAAAGGACAACATCAGTTGGCTTTAAAACATAGAATTTTGACTATACATATTGAGTGGGATATATATAGTCTAAGGTCAATAAAAACCATAATCATCAATGGTCTTGTTAGTATTAATGGTGCTATTGCAAACAAAATCAGTGCTCTTGCTATTTTGTGCAATTATATTATGCTATAAGACAAAGCAATAAGTGATCGGGTTAATATTATTAGGAAACAGGCTGTCCACCATGATGGAAAAGACATACAAATATAAAATTAACAAAGTTAAATAAACAACGCTAGAGTATTATTACATTTGAACTTGAGTATCAGCATAGACTCATTTTTTAAAAAAATATCTATTTCCTAGCCCCATCCACTTTAAATAAATAAATAAATAATAGCCCTAGTAAAACGATGACAGTCCAGTAACGAGGAACACATTAGATGCCCAGAGTGTGGCCTCAGATCAGAATTTCTTAGAGAAATAGCCGATTCCAGGCCTGGAGCCAAAAATACACAAGAAGAGTCTGAAATATCTCATCACGTAGGAAATCAAGGAAGTTTTCAAACACTAGTGTGGTCTTGTCTGAAGAACACAGGACACAGAGGGGTCCCCAGGGTCCTGAGATGGGGGGGATGCATGCATGAAAATGAATCATGACTGCATTGGATTAAACCACATAAATAAAAGTACCTAAGTTCATAATCTCACACACAAACACACACACACACACACACACACACACACACACACACTTTGATCACCAAAAGGGACTGTTAGGGTATCAACTCACTATCTTGAAAATTAGAAAAAGAAAAGAAGCCTTAGGTAGCCTTCCCTTTCAGGGTAACCAGTTCTTCACTACTTAGATCCAAAGATCATTCCCAGGACCGCTCAAGGGGGTGATATCGGGTGCCTCCTGGATGACATAACAGGAAGCTTTTGGGTGCAGCTGAGGCAGGTGGTGACTGCCGTCTGTACAATGCAGTAAGAAGCAAACACCACCTCTTGAGTTCTCTTACTTATCATATCATAAAACCAAAGCCCTGCCCTCACCCCAACGGTGACCGCTAGGCTTTTGAAAATATTGAAAATAGTTCAAAGACTTTAATACAACTGCCAAGGACCCCTAGTTGGGAGATCCTGGTTAAGCTCTAAAAATGACCCTATAAAATTTGGAGGCATTCCTACACTATGTCCCTACAAAGCACACTCACCATCAAGGAATTGGGGCAGTGAATTTCTTTTCTAAATCAAATGTACAAAGGCTATATACTAAGGTCACTCCAATTTTCAAATTCAGCATTGCTTGCTCTCTTCTAAGAAGGAAGATGGTTTAAAAGTACCATTTGTTTACTTGAGTCCCATTTGCTTTCCACTTCTATAGCTTCCCGCAAAAGAAAGTTCCTGGCAGTTATGGGCGTCATTCTGTGTGTTTGTAAAAGAAGGGGAAAAGCAGAAATGAAAGAAATTCCCCCAAATACACTTTTGACATCTTTTCGGTCTTCAGCCTAAGGAAAGTGTGTTGGAAACTCTCTGTGTCCTCCTTTTGATCCGGCCTAACAGGGAAAGGTAAGACTCCCCTGGGAAAAGTCAGATATGCCAGGCAGCAGGTAGGAAAGCACCTAGAAATTGTTCAATGACCTGCTCATCACGCTGGAAACATCTTCAGTCTGAGGCTGTGTCCACACGGGCCTCCAGGCAGATAGGCACTTCAGTGAAAAAGGACAATCACTGTCCCCTGGATGGTGGGGACAGAGAGCAAAGGAAGGCACACTGTGGCCTGAGAAGGTCCCGCTTCACCCTCAGATGCTCTCCTATGACTGGGACCACCTCCTCAAAGTCCAACTCTGAGCCAGAGCATCATGCTTGATTTCTGCTCTTCCTTTCCCCATGCAGCCAATCTCAAATTGTTGTCAATTCCACTCTCTCGCATATCTCTGAAATCCTTCCACGTCTCTCCATCCACAGGGCTTCTTCATTCAGTAAGGTCCCCGTGACCGCCGCCCCCCCCGCCTCCTGTCCTGCCCTTCCTCCAATCCCTGCTCCATACTGCAGCCACAGAGAAAATCAGCTCTCATGTCTTTACACGAAGATCTCTGATGTTGCTAAAATAGCTTCAGGAGATAGCCTGAAGTCATCGCACAGCTTGCAAAGCCTTTCAGGGTCTGGCCCTGTTCTCTCCCTGAGATTGTTCTCTTATAATCTTTTCTTTTTGTCTCTCTATCACTCTCCATGTTTCTCATCACACACACACACACACACACACACACACAC